ATTAAATTTTTAATAATTTTATTTAAATTTAGATTGAAAGTAAATAATATTTTATTAAATTTTAATTTGAAAAAAAATTTAAAACAAAATATCATGCAATAAATGTATAAGTATATAGTCACAAATTACTTGATACCTGTTAGACTAAATACCAAGTATTGATGTTCAAATATTTGGATAAATATTAAGTTAAAAAATCATACCTTAAAAATTTTTAAATTAAGTACCTTATTCATGCCGGACCTATACCTAAAAATCCTCACTCTAGATGCAGGCACTAGCTACGCCATGGGGAAGGAATCTATCTTTTGCCTTCAATCACAATCCATGACCGGATTTCATGGGTCTAACCATTCATCGCCACCCTAAAAGTGGGTAACCTAAAAAATTGATCGATTGAGGCCGCCGACGATCTTACTTCCCTTGCTCAAGTAAACAAGAGGAACAAGAGAATCAACAAGGAAGAATCCTATGCTAGAGCTTCTCAAAGAGAATTATCTGCCAAAGGTGCAAATTGTGGCGGCTAATGCGCTTTATATTCTCTTAAATGATCAAGAGAGAGTAAGGACTGTTATAACTAGAGGTGGCATTTCAACAATCATTCATTTATTGAGGCCTATTGATGCAGAGAACCATAGTTTTTTGAGCATAGATAAAGTATTCTCTCTATTTATGAGAAGAAAAAGGAAATTGACGAACACAACATCATTGGACTCAATCCAAAGAACCAGAGTCAATTCACCAATTTGTACTTCATTTGGTTCTTGAAGGGGAATAATTGAGCTAAAATTCAAAAGAGAGGGAGACGGAGGAGCCGGAGGTGAAACTCTGGCCGAAGCTTAAAGGCTTTTTGGGTGAAACTCCGCTATGTTTATTATTATTAGAGAAATAGTGCATACATTTTAATTATAAAATTATATATTCTGTTATACACTGATAGTTTTCATTATTAATTTTGTTAAAATTAATTATTTTCATGATTTATATCATTAAAACTGACCTAGTATTATTAGTATCGTTGTTCAGGTGGTGAGAAAAAGTCCCTGCATGCGGATCCCATTAATGAGGTGGACACCACATCATTCTAATTTAAACCATGTCATTTTAAATTTCACCAAATCATTATATTTTGTCCAAATGATGGCCACATAATATTAACTAAAAGAAATAATATTTAGGGTGCAAATAAGCCATTTTGCCTTGAATATGTAGGTGCTTATAACCTATTATATTATTTTCGTAAAATAGATGTATAAAGTGCTTATAACCTAACATGGGCAATCAGGGACGGAGCCAAGAAATTCGATTAGGGGGCGATAACTATTGTTAAAAATTTGAGCCTTTAAGCATTTTGTAAGACACTAATTTATTTTTTTGAAATTCTTTTTCTATTAGTCTTTTTCATTAATATATTCTTTAAAAAAAAGATAGAAATTTATTTATTAAAATAAAAAACAAAATATCACAATAATAAATTATGTAATGATCAATTGAAAAATAATAGGAAAAAAAAAAAAGAAACATGTTTGTTAGCCAAATCTCTTAAAAAGGAAGGAAAACACTAAAAGATTATATTATTTTAATAAACTTGTATTGAAAAAGATAAAAATAACGTATTTTTAAAGTAAGAATGAAAGTATTTTGGTTTTATTGAAACAAAATAATTTTGGGGTGTTTTTCCTTTTAATTTTTTGGAGTTTATGTTAATAAACATAAATATTATAAAAAATGTTAGAATATTTCTT